AAAGAATTGACAAGATGGTACCTGATTATCAAACTAAAGTTATATGTCCAACTTTCTTATGAGTAAAATTGGTGGTCTTGATAGAAATTCATCATAATCAAATTCAGTTCACACATCATTTCTTAATCTTAAAAAGTAGAATCAGTTCTGTAATAAATGCAGTTCATATCTATTGACGATTTTAGTGGAAAAATTGAAAAAATAACGTGTTGGTACTTGGTACCTAATTATAAAGTTAAAGCTTGATGTTAGCTGAATGAAAGCTTTATGACCAGCTCTCTTAATTATAAAAAGGCTGTTTGCCTGAAACATGGAAGTCATTATAGGAATGGATCGCTAGCTACAATCAGGAATAAGAAGAAGATATCACTGAAACTGGGAGGAGGGAGGCTCAATAGATATGGATTGACACTACAATTTAGATAGGTTGTGTGTGTTACTCATTTTCCATTATACTGGTAACTAGATTGCTCATCCTTTGGCTGGATTGCGTAATATCTCAAAAGACAGGACTTGATGTAGACTTAGCTAAAAGTTGAGTACAGATGAAGCAAGGATCCGTATAGTCAATACCAACTAGTTGAGAGTTATTGTTGCACTTATAGTGGGTCCTGGCAGAGACAACTGTGAGATTTGGAGAACTTTAAGATTGTAGAGAATTCTCGAATTCAAAGACAAATTACATGCTAGTGTTAGAATGAAATATGCCCCAATAGAGCAGAAGATAATCATATATCCCAATTATTTTTTGATTGATAGTAGTCGATTGATTTATTGAATTTTTGAAAATTGCACTCTCTATTTGGTTATCTTTTAGTTTCAAGAAGGGCAGCGTGAGAACAACCAGTTGAAGTCCTCACACTCTAGTTGATCGATTTAGTTAGGTTAGCTCTTATGGGACTGGGCATAGTGGTTAGACCTTAGAGAGAGTTTTGGTACGCGTTTTGTGGTGTTTTCAATGTATACTTGACTTTTCTTCTACTTAAATTCATAAAAGTTCTCATTCTCCACAATGATAAAGTAAAAAACCCTGAAATACTTTCTCTCTCCACATTTATCCTCAACATAAAAATGATATACCTTGGTAAGTTGGGTACTTTTGTTAGGGAAGTGATTCTCATGAATTGTAGTTTTACAGAACAATGTATTTGAATTCATATTAGTTGTAGTTTGTGCAGCATAAATATTGCCTGCATAATGATGTGAAGTAGGATTCTGACTCTCTACTGCTACAGTGCATTTTATTTTTAATTAAATGATTTTGATACATTAAATTATTTCAGTGGTACATTAGAGATCAACTGCTCCAAGGATATTAAAATTCAAGGGATAATTGGACCATGCACATCTTTAGATAAGGTTGGTTCACTTAACTTTTACATATTATCAGTAGCGAGTATTTTTACCTAAAGCTGCACAGTTAAGTTCTATTCCGGGAACTTGTTCCCCTGCAAAAGAAAAGTTAACTCTTTCAGTTACAGTTTTGACAGTTGACATTGATCATTTGGTGCAATGCAGAAAGGACCTGCTGTTTCCAGCACGGTCACCGGTGAGGGGAATACTACAGCTTGGAAGCTGTGTGGTCTCGACAAAAACACTTGCTTAACTGTTTTCTTTGATGTTTCATCTAGCGAAAAATCAGACCCTTCAGGCAATGTAAATCCACAATTGTACATACAGTTTCTCACGAGGTACTTGGGACCCTAGAAACATTCACCTCTATTTCTTTCTTATCCTTTAGTGTTCTTTTTAATAAATATTTTAAGCTGAAATTTTGTTAATGGATTGTTACACTGTTTTCCTTCTTGAACAACTCTAGATAGAGGAAAAAAGGAGTTACTATACATCTAAAATTTGCCAGCTTTGATGTAAATGCAGTTACCAGAGCCCTGATGGCCAAACAAAACTACGAGTCACCACCGTTACTAGAAGATGGGTTGATGCTGCTGTTAGTAATGAGGTATGGCACTAAAAGTTTCATTCCAAATTCAAATGTATCTTTCCGCAAGCATAGAGTAATGTTACTTGTCTTTCAATTTTATTGCTGATTTCTGGTAATCTTCTGAGTTGTGCTTTTTGAGGAAGTTTTTTCCTAAAGGACAAAAGAAGAATTTGGTTATCCTTTCATCAAAAAAGAATTTGGTTATCCTTAATCCCTCGGGCCCCACAAATAAGGAAACATAGAAAGAAAACTTAAGAGATAGAGAGAGACCACATTATTCAGCCTATTTCAATATGATGCTGTGAAAGTATCTTTTTATATCTGTTGAAGTCCTCTGCAAAGGGTACCTCGTCGAACGAGAATGTCTGGTTTGGATTTGCTCTTGTTTCAAGTAGTTGAGGAATTTTATCCTCATCTTTTTGAAAGAAGTTTGTTGAGAAATTTTGTCTCATTGTTTGAACTTTTTGGAGAGCATACGAGTGTTTGTTGATCCTGAGACTGCAAGAAATCTGTTTTTTTCCAGGAATTGGTGCAAGGATTTGATCAAGAGACTGCTGCAGTTGTAGTGGCTAGATTAGCTTCTTACAAAATGGAGATGGAGGTAACTTTTCTAGGCTATTATTTAATTCTGCTTAAATTTTTACAGTACTCAGGGGGTAAGCTTGTCATGCTTGGTAAATAGTGAAGTAACAAGGTCAGTTGAGTATACTTGAAGTAGGGAAGAATTAGTCCTTAAAACATGAATTATGGTGAATATTACATTCACTTATCATCTTGTGCTTGAACTTTATAATTTCCCACTTCTCATTTTTTGATTTATTGATAAATCCCGGCTAACTGATTTCAGGAAGATTTTGATGCCACAAGGTGGCTAGATCGTAATCTCATTCGTCTGTGCTCCAAGTTTGGTGATTATCGGAAGGATGAACCCAGCTCATTCACTCTGAATCCCTCTTTTTCATTGTTCCCTCAGTTCATGTTTCATTTACGGCGATCCCAGTTCTTACAAGTAATATTGCTCAGCATGTTCTTTCTTATCTCAGTGTCAATGACATACCAAATTTATGTCATGGATGTACATGTTCTCATTTCTCACTTAAGTATGTGTGTCACAGGTGTTCAATAATAGTCCAGATGAGACAGCATATTTCCGCATGTTGCTCAATCGGGAGGGCATAAGCAATGCTGCTGTCATGATTCAGCCAACACTAACAGCATTTTCATTCAATTCACTGCCTTTCCCTGCTTTGTTGGATGTGGCATCCATTGCAGCTGATCGCATTCTCTTGTTGGATGCTTATTTTAGTGTAGTTATTTTCCATGGAATGACAATAGCTCAATGGAGAAACATGGGATACCAGGAACAGCCTGAGCACCAGGTATGTCTCACATTTTTCTCTCATCTAGTGATGTTTTTTTAAATTCTTTGTGGTAGCTTCATGATGAAAGAGGAAGACTCGGAAATCCTCAAGCATGCAGAATTTGTGCTGTACTAGCATGCTGTATTTTCATAATCTGTTTGTAAAACAAAAATATGTATTCTTTTTCCCTCTCTCTTTTCAGGCATTTGCACAACTCTTGCAAGTTCCCCATGATGAGGCCCAAGCAATCATCCGTGAGAGATTTCCTGTTCCAAGACTGGTAGTGTGTGATCAGCATGGTTCCCAGGTAAAGGATTATTTCTATTTAAATATTGTTGCCTTGGTGAGCGTTCACATGCCTATTGGAAGTAGAGGATCGATTGTAAGTTTGTCATTAAGGAATAACATCATTTCACTCATGCTGGACAGGCAAGGTTCCTTTTGGCAAAGTTGAATCCATCTGCCACGTACAATAATGCAAATGAAATGGCAGCTGGATCAGACGTGATCTTTACAGATGATGTGAGCCTTCAAGTTTTCTTTGAGCATCTTCAGCGGCTAGCTGTGCAATCTTCTTGACCCAAGAAGAAACAATTATGTGAAAATCTCATTGAGTTTGCCTCATCTATCCTGCCAGCCTCTTGTCGGAAGTTCATAATTTTCTTCCCATCATCCGTAAGATGAGAGGTCAATCCCAGATATTATATGGAAAACTAAGACTACATATGACATTCTTTCAGGTATGTGGAGGTACTTTTGCTTCCTAAGAAAATAAACGGTAACTCGACTCATTGTTCTCTATGGTTATAATATTAGAAGGGGGGGTATGTTTTAAGTCAAATGGCGTGTGTTTGCTCCCTCGGGCTGTTGAACGAGAAGATAGTTTATGTCGGCGACTTCCTTTTTTTTGTTAGTTATTACCAGGCAAAGAGTTTGTGTCATCTGTTGCGTTGAATTCATAGTTGTAGTTTATTGGATTATGGCTTGTAGAATAGGAAGTTTTTGAAACCATTTGCTTTATTTTGGATTTCTTTCATAATTTAAGGTATATCTCATATACACATCTGTGGACCAACAGTTTTGCTTTCTCTGTGTCATTTTGAAGCTTGTGATTGTTGATTGATGATTAGAGATTAAACAGGTTTAACATGGTTGATTTGCACATATCGATTGTTATTACTAAGATTAAGATAAATGAAAAAAATATTCTTTTTAACTTTTTCTTTTTTCTCTCTTCTAAAATTTAAATTATAATGATGTGCTTAATTGACATGGATTATAATTTATCTAAATGAAATTTATTACTTAACATAAGTATTATGTATATACAAAGAATAACAATGACAAATTTGTGAAGAAGATAGGACGTACGTAGATTATACTCTTATGATTAGAACCAATTGTTTCGCAATTAACCTTCGATAATTGTTTTTTTAATTTAGCTTGAGGCTGACCATGTGAACGAGCTAGTCGATGAAAACTTACCTTTATATAAAGAAAAGAGAAAAATGACAAATATATCTCTGCAAATGGTATGTGGATACAGATATAGGTGTCCCATCGTTAAAAAACTAGATCATACGTATCCTTTTGTACTATCAGATATGCATGTGTCATAATTTTATCCATCAATCCGATATCAGATCGATGAAATCAATATTTCATAATTATGACGGAGGCTATGTGCATATATTTATCGTTTTTCCCTCGTATAAATCCATTAGTGCCGTGTTTGTTTTCTCAAAAATTAGTTAAACTCTACTCCTAATAATGAAGCATCATCATTTCATTATCATCTCTCTTACCATCCAAGGCCACATAAATCCCACTCTCCAACTCGCTAAAAACCTCTCACGCGCCGGTGTTCGCTGCACCTTCGTCACCACCGTTAATGGCTTCAGCAAATTGAACAACCTTCCGTCCATCGACGGTTTGTTCTACGCCTCTATCTCCGATGGAAACGACGACGGCACAGCTAAAATGGACTTCAGTGATTACATGAAACAGTTAAAGCGCGTGGGATCGGAAAATCTCAAAAAACTTATCGATAGATATGCCGGCGACGGTCACCCAGTTACTTGCTTAGTCTACACATTTATCTGGCCGTGGGTTGCAGAGGTGGCGCGTGAGATTAACTTGCCGTCTGCTTTTCTAGTTATTCAATCTGCTACTGCTTTTGCGATTTATCACCATTTATTTAGCATCAATAACAATGGAGTTTACAGCTCTACCAATGAAATTAACCTCTCGTTCCCAATCAAATTACCGGAATTGCCTCTGCTTTTTCGCGATGATATTCCGTCCTTTCTACTGCAGAATGATCCTTACTCTTCTTTCATGATCCCTGTAATGAGAGAACACATACAAAACCTCGAACACGATACTAATCCTCGTGTTCTCATCAACACTTTCAACAAATTAGAAGAGAAATCATTGAAAATTATCGATAAAATTGGGATCTACTCCATTGGACCTTTGATTCCTTCGGCTTTTCTCGATGGAATTGAACTCGAAGATAAGTCATTCGGATGCGATTTGTTTGAGAAATCTGAAACTTATTGCCAGTGGCTGGATTCGAAACTCGAAGGTTCGGTTGTTTACGTAGCATTTGGAAGCATAGCAACGGTGAAAGAGGAGCAAAAGGAAGAGGTTTTGCAGGGTTTATTGGAAAGTGAAATGCCATTTTTATGGGTAATTAGATCAAGCAAAGAAGATGATAAGAAGAAGAATGATGAAATTTATGGATTGAATGGAAAAGGGATGATTGTTCCTTGGTGTTCACAAATGGAGGTAATGTTTGAACTCTTCCTATCTCTTTGAATTCATACCGTAATAGTTTGATCTGATACGAAGTTTAAAAATAAATCCAAAATTTAGTTTTTCGAAATATGTATTATGTCGTTCGAAAGAATGAGAAGTTAAGGGGGAGTACTAGAGCAACAGTAAAGTTATTTCCATGTGATTTATAGGTTACATGTTCGAGCTGTAGAAGCGATCCTTAACGTATGAGAAGTTAGGGGGAGTACTGGGGCAACAGTAAAGTTATTTCCATGTGATTTATAGGTTACATGTTCGAGCTGTAAAAGCGATCCTTAACGAATGAGAAGTTAGGGGGAGTACTGGAGCAACAGTAAAGTTATTTCCATGTGATTTATAGGTTACATGTTCGAGCTGTAGAACCGATCCTTAACGAATGATAAGTTAGGGGGAGTACTGGAGCAACAGTAAAGTTATTTCCATTTGATTTATAGGTTACATGTTCGAGCTGTTGAAGCGATCCTTAACGTATTAATACTTTGTGCATCGAGTTGTCCATTCGAGGATGAGAAGTTCAAGTCAAATCGATTTGATGTTTAATATAGTGTACCATTTGTTTAGAACGGACTAATAAGAAACTCGTATAATTCTCATAGGTACTTTTTCATAAGTCAATTGGGTGTTTCGTGAGTCACTGTGGATGGAATTCGACTTTAGAAAGCACGATAGCTGGCGTTCCACTAATTGGAGTCCCACAGTTAGCCGATCAATTTACGAACATCAAGATGGTGGAGGAGGTTTGGGGAACAGGAGTGAGAGCAAGAGTAGAAGAAGAAGGAGGAATTGTGAAAAGAGAAGAGTTAAAGAGGTGTTTGGGAGTTTTAATGGGAGATGGAGAGAAAGGAAATGAAATCAGAAGGAATGTGAAGAAATATAGAGATTTGGCCATGGAAGCTGTGAAAGTGGGAGGATCTTCACATAATAATTTGAACAAGTTTTTAGAGAGTTTGTGAGGTAAATTCTACCTCAGACTCGATTCGTGGAATTACACAGTATATGTTATTGTTAGGAATCCAAAAAGACGGAGACAATGAAGAATTGACCAAAATCCACAAACGCCAATAAAGATTTGGAGTTTCTTTGGCTTGTAAGGCATTTCTAGTTCTTGGACTGAATTGATTTCTGAATTTTGGTGCATAAAGGGTAATTTGTTGAAATTATTCAGCTATTTTAGTTGATGTAATTTTGTAAGTTATTTTAATGTTAAAAGTAAGATTGAAAAATATATGAATAAATATCAAATTTCAGTTTAAGTTTGTTCAAAATAGTACTATTATCCTAGTAAAAGCTACTATATGTATAAATAACTACTGAAAATATGCATAAAAACTCTACATAATACCAATAACATATCCCGTTAAAAATAAAAAACTAACTTTTTATCTTAATTCGGAAATTATGATTTCTTGTCTAATCATCTACTCTTTTTTTTAAACACATCTACCTCTTCTAACTTTCGCTACTATTAACCTCTCACTCCTCTTCACGTGCACTCCATATAACTTTATTTTTAATTATATCTCTTTTACTATATCCACAATCAATTTGAATATCGTTATCTCCGCTCCATTTATCTTCTAAACATGAAATCTCTTAAATGACCAACATTACCATAAACAATGTTGGTCTAATTACTTCTGTGCAAAAATTTACCTTTTAAGTCTTGATAACACATTGTTATCACATAATAACCCAATAACCCAAATGAACATTTTGATTGGATGGTTGTTATTTATTTTACTTTATTATTTTGATGAATAGATTATACTGTTTTTCGTACTACATAATGTCATACATCTATGATTTGAAATAAAATATGGTGTATAACTAATGGAAAAGGGATATTAAATGATAAAATATAATTATTAAATAATAAGTAAAGTCAAAATTTGAAAAAAAATCTTACGGTAACGACGCGGTTACACTATATAATATGTTGGTGTGATATTTTAATATTAATAAAAATATATGTTGTTGTGGAGCTTTGGAGTCTTCAACTTATTCGAAGTTGCTTGAGTTGTACGATGTTGGATTGTTGTGTTCTAAAGCGGACAAGTTAAGAGTATTACTGTTGGATCGATGCAGATTACGCCACAGTGAACTTGAATCTCTTTAAAGAGAGCGAGATATTTGTACCTCAACCTAAAAATTTCTTTATTCATTTTCTTTCAATTGTAATATTTTATATTTGCGAGTCATTACACCAACATAATACGAATAATAATCAATAGTATATATTATTTTCTCCTCTCACCAACTTATATTCCCTATAACTCTACCTCAAAAGTGTATGAAAGTTAAAAAAAAGTAATGTTAAGTACTCATTTATACATTCTTAATTAAACTTTTCGAGTAAGTGTGCTCCTAAATATAGAATAAATTTTGTTAGAGGATGTTTTACCTTTTCTCTCTTAATATGAAAATTTTTAAATGCTAATTTAAATTTAATCAAAGTCTGATTTAAATATGAATTAGAAATCAAAAAGAAGTTGAAAAAGTAGGTAGTGGTGGTTGTTAATAAAGCATTGAATTTTTAAATCAACCAACTTTCTTGAAAAATAATACTAAAATAATTTCGTTATTTTTCTTGTGGCGTGAGAAGACTTCAATTTAAATACTTTTTATAATATTTTTCAAAAGGATGGTGGTAAAATACGGTTGGTGTATGAGATATTAACGTTTAAACAATACATATTAATGTCTTACCTTAATTAAAATTAAAAAAATAATTATAAAAAGTTGTTGTTGGTTCATCACCTACTAAATGGGAAATCCAAAAAATGGAATAAGAAAAAGAAATTAGTATCTATTTTATGCATTATATATATTCTGTGAATATCATGCCAGATTAATTAAATTTGTTTGCACTTTTAAAAACGAATTAAGTGGAAGAAAAAATGACAAAAATTGTAGCAATTAATTTCTGATAATTATTTTTAGTATTTGTTGACAATTAATATAAAATGGAGAGAACAGTGGAAATATCTCTCTCTCATGGTTTTAAAGATTTAAAAAGTCGTTTGGTTGGTTGTATAAAAATAGTTTTGTGTATGATGTCTCAGTAATATTGGTATTAGTTATATTTGTATTATTTATGATGAGATTATTTCATATACATCATTTAATTTGATATATCAAAAATAATATCTATCACATAATTCCTAAAGGAAAACACTCTAATATGCCATCAAAATTTGAGAAAATATTCATCTATGTCATCTGTTAAGAAAAATGACTCATCTGTACTGTTTTTGTTTGAAAAAACATTGATTCGTGTTATTATTTTATTCAACTGAATATTTTTTTTTATTTTGCAATATCACTTTTTACAAGTGGTAATTATGATTCAACCACGTTATTAATGAAATAATCTTTTAAAAGGGAAACAAATCTCAAACATTCCATCAAACTTTGAAAAAATACGTTCATTTAAGCTATTTGTTTAAGAATTTAGCTTATTTATGCTATCTCAATTAACAAATAATGAAATAAATAAATGTTTTTTCAAACGAAAATGATATAATGTTTTTTCAAACGAAAATGATATAAATAAATTATGTCTTTTTTTAGTAGATCTATAGACAGGGTGTCGGTGGTGCTGAAGTCACAAAAAGTAGAAAAATGTACTTTCAAAATGTTGATAATTGGATTTAAATGCACAAACGTGGGCAAGTTACTCCCATTTCATTAAAAAAAAATAATCAATGGACTAAATTTTATTTTATTTTAAGAAAAAGTTTAGTATGTATTTAATATATTAAAAGTTTGATTAATTTACGTTATTTTTTTTAAAAATGTTTTATTCATAGAATTATTTGTTAATTGAAATGATATTTTTTTAGTTAACGATGTAGTTGAATTACATAGGAGCAGGAATTTTACTCTGTGTGCATCCAAAAGATAGTGACTGCGAATTTCTCTTATCATAAAAAAATGATGTGACTGAATCATAATTGACACGTGTAAAAATAATTTTGTAAAACTAAAAATATTTTAAAAATTTAAAATATATACTTGAAAATTTTCAATGTACCAAAAGAAAACACTTTAATTAGCATGTTTAGTCAAGTTACTTTTTAAATTGATTAATAATTTACTCTTCAAAAGTAAATAAATTCAAAAAAAATTAACCATTAACTAAATCTATTTTTCCTTATTGTCATGATATAATTTCCAACATAATTAATTTTTGTACAATATCTTTTATTACCAAAAAAAAAATAAAAAATCCAATATAAGTAATAGTGAATCCCTCCATTGACAAAAATTATTCAACTACCTAACACTACTCACATTCCTTGTTGTCCTTTTATTCACCAACCTCAACATCAATTTCACCAACAAATGCAACAAAAAAAAATCATAAAAAGAAAAGAAGAAGAGTAGATAATTGTACAAATATAAAACTTTATATTTGAATAAATACAAGATATTCATATTAAATGTAATAACTCTTTAATACGAAAATTCAGATTTAATCAAAATCGATTCCAAATAAATTAATAAGCATATATCATGTATAAAATTTGACGTAAACATGAATATACTCATATTAGAAGCGTCTTTCCAAAAACAAACGTTTCAATACGTAAATTCAAATTTAGCCAGATTCAAGATAATCTAAATACAAAATACTAATATTAGAAGTGTCGTTCCAAAAACGAACGTTCCACTACGTCAATTCAAATTTAGTCAGATCCGAAGCAACATATTCATATTAGTAGTGTCGTTTCAAAAACGAATCTTTTAATACGTAAATTTAAATTTAGTCAAACCCGAGACACGGATAGGAAAGGTAGGAGGTGAGTGAGGGGCATTATTGGCCATTAGTTCATCCTCTCAACTCTTTATATATTCCCCTTTCACTTCCACTTCTCTTTGTCCTCAGCCCTTTAACTCTCTCTACATTTCTCATTTTCTTCTCAATTTTCTCTCAATTTTTCTTCAATGGATCCAGTTACAGTTTGGGGTAATGAGCCCCTTTCAACTGTCGATCCTGAGATCCATGATCTCATTGAGAAGGAAAAACGCCGTCAATGTCGCGGCATTGAGCTGATTGCTTCAGAAAATTTCACTTCTTTTGCTGTAATTGAAGCACTTGGCAGTGCTTTAACCAACAAATACTCAGAGGGGATACCCGGAAACCGTTACTACGGTGGTAATGAATATATTGATCAAATTGAGAATCTGACAAGAAGTCGAGCTCTTGAAGCTTTTCATCTTGATCCAACCAAGTGGGGTGTTAATGTTCAGCCTTATTCTGGTAGCCCTGCTAATTTTGCTGCTTATACTGCTGTTTTGAACCCACATGATAGGATTATGGGATTGGATTTGCCTTCTGGTGGTCATTTGACACATGGGTATTATACATCTGGTGGGAAGAAGATCTCTGCGACTTCGATTTACTTTGAGAGTTTGCCTTATAAGGTGAATTCGACAAATGGGTATATTGATTACGATAGGTTGGAAGAGAAGGCTTTGGATTTTAGGCCAAAATTGATTATCTGTGGAGGAAGTGCTTACCCAAGAGATTGGGATTACAAGAGGTTCAGAGAGGTTGCTGACAAATGTGGGGCTCTTTTGCTTTGTGATATGGCTCACATTAGTGGTCTTGTTGCTGCTCAGGTGAGAAAAATTCTTCTCCGTACTTGCGATTTTCCATTTTTTTTTGGATCTGCATGAGGATTTTGAATCTCTTTGATTTGTAGATCTGCATTTGATTTAGAGCTTGTGTGTATTGTCTTAATGTATTATAGATCTGAATGCTTTGCGCTGTGATCCATGTGTTCTGTTTAATAAATTACCCATTGGGATAATTGCATGTGAAATTTTTAAAGATCATTTCTTCAACAAGTGGATCTGAGAGTTCAAATCTCAGTTGTCTGATACCTTTTGCTGGTGGGATCCATGTTTTGGTTTTTGATTAATTATATTCTTTGAGGTAGTTTCACGTGAAGGTTTTAAAGATCTTCTCTTTAATAAGTAGGATCTGAGTGAGGAAAAGATTATGATGTGGGAACTAGAATTAGTTGGGTTGGTGCTTGTTGTTCTCTTTACATGAGCATTGTGAGGCTTAATGTGGATCAATGAGGCAATGATTTAGACTCGATATAATAATTCTTATACCACTTGAATTCGATGTGAATAGTATGCAACAAGAACAACAACAAACACAGTAAAAACCACAGGTGGGGTTAGGGGAGGGTAGTGTGTACTAGGATCTTATCCTACTCTGATAGACACCTTGGTTCAA